TCGATGGCGGTTTGGTGGCGCAAGGCCTGGATGGCTGCTGCCACGGCGACGTCTCTGGAGTACTGATTCTCATCTGTTTTCAATGAGGGGGCAAGGTACTTTGAATGAAGGATAATTTGGATGTGGTGGTACACTAGTTGGATAAACAACCGCTGTGCAACGAGTGAGTGAGTTAGCCTTTGTTGTTCTAGGTAGAAGAGAAGAATTGTTCAAACCTGGCATGTTAAGTTTGGAGGATCCAGTCGGGATTCTTCCATGCTAGTGAATTTACAACATGCAGGAAGTTCCTGAAATACTCCCGTCAGCATGCTGTCTAGCTCTAGAACCCTTGTGTATGGCATGGGTTCTTTGCTAGTGACAGCATCGAGAACTTTGGAAGAGACAGAAGCCAGTCGGTTCTTTGAGATGGTGATCAGTATCGGGGTCAGCTCAGACTCGGGCCTAGACTCTGGCAAGACAGTGGTTTCGGGGCCGAAGTCGGTATCGAACAAATTCCTGGGCTCCCTTGTGTCGACGATAGAGTCCTTGATCAGTTTTGGCATCTTGAGCTGCGTTGAGACACCCATATCGAGTTGGTAGATAAGTGCCCAGAGCCGGCGCCTCATCTCGCCCTCAAACGGCGTCAGGCTCTGGAAGTGACTTGGGTCTTTGTTATATCCAAAACTCAAAACTGTAAGTGATCGGTCGTTAGCACGGGTACCCCCGAGCCCAGGATAGGCATTTCCGGAGACGATTCGCCGCTCCTCACGTACCGATTGAAACTAAACTCTGAAGCACTATCCAAGTGCCTGAATCGGCATCTCGCCTGATGAACTGCTCCCCAAGGATGTAATGTAGCAATGTCTCGGGAATATGTGGCCCGCCCTTGTGATGCTCGGACAGAACAAGTGCCTGGACCGTCTTTTCCCTGAAGCTCTCCATACGTCTGGAATCTTGATGCTTTTCAGTGCCAGGCTGCAGCACCTCATCTGAGCCAAGCATATGTCCATTGTGCAAGATAGTGGCAAGGGTGAGGACACTGAACAGCAGCGCTAGCCATGACGTCGGGGCTGAGGTTGTCGGAGGGTCTTGCCAAAAGTCTTCATACTGTTTCATGAACTCCCCGCGGTGGAGGATAACCTGGGTCAAAATGTCAGATCACCACGCTTGGCATATCCTTGGCAAGGGATTGGGACCGGTCCGCTTACAGGAGAGTAGCTATAGGTGTCAAAATAGTAAGTGACAAGGCGGTCTGACTCGATCTTGGGAGGAACGGTCGCTATCAGGTCCGCTCTTGACACGCGACTATAATTTCCGAGGAGGAGGAAGTCCACGAACTGAGGCAAGGCGGTGGCTACATGGGATGAATGATCTTCGGGTGGCTCGCCAGCCTTTTCCGAATCAATGTCCGATATGCTGTTAAGTACGGACGTCCAGTGAAATCCTTCGCGATGGCTAGAAGGTGCGCTGTCTGCTGTGGAGGCTTCACTTGGGCTGGAGCGGTCCCTCGCCGGATCCCCCGGCTGGTCTTCTGTCTGGGGAACGGTAGATTGAGGATCTACTACGATGTCAGATGACCTCCTACAGGACCGGCTATGGGTTTCAGATGATGAGCCTACCGGAGCTGGGTGCTGGAGCTGATGGTTTAGGTCGTGATTTGACAGCGGCGGGTGGTGGGTAGGAACATGTATGTGCGAAATTGCTTTTCTACTTGGCCATCGACCATCCAGTCACATGATAAGCATCCGGAATCACAAGTATCCCCAAATAAAAGCAAAGGCAGAAGGAAAGTAAAGGTAGAAAGAAGCTGATGGGACAACTCACGGTACAGGCAGCGCATGGGAGCTGACGGTCACACTTCAATCTGCGCGAAAACTGGTGAGCATGCCAAGGAATCTCCCACTCCGCCCTACGAGATGCACTACGCACGGGCAGAGGCGTATTACGGGTGCACGTACTTGCGGCGACGACATGCATGGCAGGACAGCTGCGGCTTATCTCGACGGCGGTTCGGAGGCGGTCGGGGTCGTGCAGGAGGAGCCCCGTGCCCATCTGCCGAGTTCTCCATCGGCGGCCGTCTGGTTCGGGCAGTGGCCGCAGGAGGCTGAACGGATGGACTCTTGCGCGAGCGGAAAGCTTTTTCGTGTCTCTCCCTATCGGAAGTGCGATCAGAAAAAGAGGAAACCAGGGCACAGCGAGCGCGGGGACTGGTGGAAGGGGGGAATCTCCATGTCTGGCTCCACCGCCTCTTGTCGGACGGTCGGATATTGTTTCGTTTCAGGGGTCTGACCCACCCCTGGCCCGTTTATTAACTTTCTCGTAGTGGTGATCTGGCCTTGGGTTCGCGCTCGCGGCAGTTGAGTGCGGTTGCCAGAGCCGGTCTGATTGTAGCTGCCTGTAGTCGGGTGACTACGACATAAGAATGGACGGACTCGGCGTCTACCTTGACCGACCCTGGTTGTGCTAGGTGAGGCTGAGGAGTATATAATGGACGGGCTTGTCTCTGCTTACCCCCTATGTCCATACACTCATCATCCTCTCAGACGCGGCAACGAGACTCGCCATGCCACTTACAAACGTCGTCATCCTGGGCGCTGGGCCTTGTGGCCTCTCAACCGCCATTGCCCTGGCCAAATCATGCAAGGCAGTCGCCAGCAGCCAGTCACTCCGCATCACAGTGATTGAGCTGCGGCCAAAGATACAGACCATTGGCGGCACCGTGAACATGACCCCTCTGGGCATGCGGTACCTTGATTACCTTGGCGCAGGTGAGCGTCTGAGGTCAAAATCAATCTCACTTGACCACGGCGTCGACGCTCTCTCCCTGCGAACAGGGAAGCGACTCGGGAACGTGTGGGGTGGTATTGGTGCTCGTCGCACTGCTCGATACCCCCTCGTGGATAGCCTTCTCGAGACGGTGACGCAAGACCACCAAGAGCACATCGAAGTGCAGTGGGGACGCAAAGTGACAAACATATCCGAGAAAGACGAAGAAGTGCACCTAGAATTCGAGGACCATTCAACATTGCACTGTGATCTGTTGCTTGGTTGCGATGGCATCCACTCCAGCGCACGTCTCCTTTATGTCGAACCCGAGAGACAAAAGGTTTTCACAGGCCGTGCCGTAGCGATGGGGTGGGTTGAAAAAGATGCCAACGAGACCTCGGACGCCATGGTCTCGCCTATTACATTGTCCACCGGGGAACCTGGACTGGTAGACACAGCCGTGGTCAACGGCAACGGCAACGGTAGACACTTGATCATGACCTATTTCGAGCCGAGCAGGCGCAATGTTTTCTTTGGCCACGTGATGTGGACAGGAGAGCCGGAAGGCGAGGAGCGTGACGGCTGGAAGCTTCGCGGAGACGACAAAGAAGCTATCAGGAAGGAAGTTGTCGAGTCCTACAAAGGAGGACGGGTAGGCGGCCTTGATGAATTCATTTCCAAGTGTGAGAGCTGGGACCTCTATCCGATCTATTCTTTACCACCCGGTGGCCTCTGGCGCCGGGGCCGTGTCCTACTTTTGGGAGATGCGGCACACGCGGTAAGTTATAACCGCGAAAATCATTGCAACATGTTTGAGTACTAATGTATGATTCGTTCGCATAGATGCCGCCACAAGGAGAGAGTACTGGTATTGCCATTGAGGATGGGGTACTTATTGCACGGATTCTTGAACAGTCAAGTACCAAATCTATTGACCAGATGTTCGCGGACTATGAAAAGGTCCGTAGAGCTGTCATAGAGAAGCATTACGTGGATGCAGAGCGGATGGCCAAATTCGGGTTCTCTAACACGACCGGCCTCGCTGCTATCGCCATGGAATGGATCACGTCGGCTTATATGTTTGTGAGAAAATGGAACCAGACCGCTGATTTTGCAGGAGATGTGAGAGAGTTGGAACTGCCAGGCGAATCTGCAGAGAAGACAAACTGATACGGCTGAAGAGTGGACCGATGAGTGGTTTGAGTGGGCAGTGATATTAGGTGGCTGGGTTGGGATATGGTATAATTTAATTATTCTTTCAATAAAGTATTCTAACAAGATTAAGAAGATGTATCTGGAATTCTCAAAAATGAATTCCTAAGATCACTGAATAGTAGTTGCGATGGCCGGGATGAATCGACGACCATGCAAGCCAGCGACAAACAACAAACAAGCATTACTTGTCGTAGCAACTGGCATATTATTTCTCCCGCCGGGGTGCTAAAATATGCTGTCGCTACCGCAAAGATGTTCTATGCGTCGGCTCATCGCTCGTCATGACTGTTGCCTCCCCATCGTCTGACATGCGAAATTACAACCTTGACACGTAGCTATAGCGGACACCATATCGTGACCAAGATCGATCAGCTCGCCGTCTAATCTTGTGATATTAACCGAAATATTAGATCAATTTTTTTTGTCTTAGCGGGCTCAAGCGTTGACAGCGCCTGGCTTAGGAGAGTTGGTGATGAAGCCACTGTCCAGGTGAGGAACAAGAAATTGATATAGGCGTATAATTCCGGGATTCAAGCTAGCTCCCTAAAGTACAAAGAATAAAAGAGGGCTTCATCACTCGTGGGGGATTCAAGAGGACTACTTCCGGATAGATTTGGGTCTGTACCTCCGCATTTACAGATGCAACAACGCATGAAAGCATGAACAGCAGCTTTCATCTAGATTGGCCACATCAGCGATAAACCCTGCAATGCGCATCATCTAACCGGTTTATTCCAAGTCCCACCACGTTGGCAGTAATAGAACCCGTCTCTTTTAATGCAGAATGACGACTTTCTTTGACCAGTAGCTGGTAATGATGAATCAACACTTTTCTTGGACAATGCTCCCTGTTCTGTCCCTGTGGGATACCGATCTCCTTTGCGCTGCCCTGCTCGAGTAAATGCACTTGCTATGACCTGACCTCATCATACATGCCGTCTGCAAACGAGCTTTGCTCTACATAAATAATGAGACTGTCCATCGCAGAATCTAGACTCTGTACAGCAGCAGCACCAAGGTTTCATCTTTATACGACCAACATGGATTCTCTTCAAACTCGTAACAATGCCCTTAAGGTCAACCCGCCAGGTGGCCAATCCCACCTTTCTGTAGATGGCTCCAACTGGCTCTTTGCTGTGATGGCTTGCTTCACAGTGTCTTTTGTTCGTTTGCTCCACAGCTACTTGCGATTCTGATTTATCTCACTAACACTCGGATGTTCCAGCTTGCATACTATGGGCTTAGCTTCAAGCCGCGCAACGGGGAAAAGGTGTTCCACTACCTCTTCACCATCGCCCTGCTTGTTGGCTCCATCTCCTATTTCGCCATGGCCTCGGGGCTTGCGTACTCGGTCATCCCAACAGAACGTTACATTCTAGATGCTGCGACTTACCAGATATTCTTCGCCAAATATATCCTATGGGTCGTCGCTTTCCCAGCAATCATTATCGCCCTCGGGCTTGTCAGCGGCGTAAGCTGGGCGACCATCTTCTTCAACGTCTGTGTGTCTTGGGCCTGGTGCGTCAAAACTAAGAGTGATATCCCGTGTCAAATCTTTACTGACTGCGTTGATAGGATCATCGCATATCTCTGCTCTGCCTACACTGCCACCCGCTACAAATGGGGATTTTATGGCTTCGGAACCGCTGCCTATGTTATTCTCGCTATCCAAACCTTGTGGGCAAGCCGCTCCTCGGCCAATCGCCTCGGCATGGGCCGCGATCACACCATGATAGCTGGATACGTCAACCTCTTTTGGTTTCTATATCCCATCGCCTTCGCCGTCTCAGACGGAGGCAACGTCATAGGCGTGACCCAGAGCTTCATCTTCTTCGGTATCATCGATCTCCTCCTCGTGTGTGGTACGGCATTCATCTTTCTCTTTCTCGCACGGAAATGGGACTACGGACGTATGAATCTACATTTTACCCAGTACGGTCGTGTCAACCGCACGTACCCTGAGAAGCATGCTGGGCCCGTCGCCGCTACAGCTACTCCTGCTACCCGTGGTTAGGCGAACGCGCACGCTTGAGGTCTTTTGAGATGAGGAGTATACATGATGGCTTGAGAATCTACTGAGGGCACAGAGAGGGGTTGGTTTGGTGCTGGTTGAGGGTGGAAAGAAGTATTGGTGAGTTCGAGAGATCTTCAGGTGGGGCAGGAGGAAGGTCTACTTTTTCCTGTAACGAGTTTTGGGACGAATTTATTTATGGGAATTATCTATTCAACCATTTTATAGATAATAATTTGAAGCTACGGAGGAATACACAGACTGATGTAACGCCCACGCCTCCAGGTAAAGCTCCCACGTTGGAGACTGATCGCTTTAAGTAACGCGGAGCTGCACTCCGAAGATTATAGAGTGTGGTGGGTTGATAAGGAAAACCAGAACTCCTTTAGAAAAGACGCAGCTATCGTAAGGAAGGGAGTGTTCGATATTACCCAGAAAGCCGTCTGATTTGAAGATGGCGCTGAGGCTTCATAATTGCTTAAGGCGGCTATGATTGGGGAGCGAATTGTTTTTCTTAGAAGGAGCCATTCATTCCATGCTTGGCTCAAATACCATGAAGACAGTCTCACAGTTTTTAAATGTGATATCTGCAGCTACGTGCGCATTTTTGGTGGAAGGGCTGGAGGTTTAGGGCTCGAACGTCAAGGCTGACTGTGGTGCGAGCAACACGAACTTGAACCTAACCTTAACTTGGGCCGTGAACCTTAAAGATCGGGATGATGGCATTTGGCACAAAAAGAATGGACTGCTGCTTTCTAGAACAGTTCTTAACATTGAGAGTTGTGGTAGTGATACGCAACTCAGTACCTAGAAATTCACCACGAAGACCTTCCTGAATTCTGCACTGTTTACTGCGTGGGGGTCAGGTATAGAAGCCGTATGGATTTTATAGCTAGAATGTGCTGCGTGTGATCTAATCATCTACGTGGCACAGATTTAGGTTCGTGCTGTGACAACTTACTTACTTAACCCCTTAACTTTGGGGTAGAATAACACAATTTGGTAATCTGGCCTCAACACGAGTAATAATTATTAGATATTTCAGGCCAGAGTTAATTTACTGTGTCATGTATTTTTGATTAGGGTTATCACCTCACAAAAACAGTCAGCGCTTCTGGTTGCCGCTCATTACAATTCGTCCGCCTCGTCGTACTCCCACATACCTCCTCACTTTTAAACCATCATCATCGAAAAAGAAAACGCCCTCGACTCAAAATGGCTCAAGCCATGGAGAAGGAACTCATTCTCGTTACGGGCGTCACTGGATACATTGCTGGTCGCACAGCCGAGGCACTCCTCCAGGCGGGCTACCAAGTCCGAGGCACAGTTCGCGACCTCAGCTCTGCGCGCCACACACAGAATGCTCTCAGCGAATTCGACAGCCGATTCCAAATTACGGTGGTTCCCGATATCTGCGTCGCTGGGGCACTTGATGAAGCAATGGAGGACTGCACTGGCGTTGTGCAGATTGCCGCGCCCATGAAGATTTCAGGACAAAAGGCGATTCCCGCCGTGGAGAAGGCCGTCAATATCGTCAACGGCGTACTTGAATCGGCGAGCAAACATCCATCTGTTAACAACGTCGTTCTCCTGTCGTCAGTATCCGCTATTCGCCGCAGTGGAAGTGGACCGTACACATTTACGGAGAAGGATTGGAATACCGAGGTGGAGGCGATGTTCAAGACTGACCCGGATAATATGTCGGGTGGAATGATTTATAGGGCTGCCAAAGTAGCCGCAGAGCGAGCATTTTGGAAGTACAAAGAGACCAATAAGCCGAGATTCGCGATGGCAAGTGTCAACCCTTCTTTCGTTCACGGTCCGCCACTTGTCGTACCAAACTCGGTCTTCAAAATCAAAGGCACAACAGGGTTTATCGTCAGCATCCAAGCTGGCCTCGACGGACCCGACGTCTTCAAGACTTACCCTTGGTGGGTTGACGTCCGCGATGTCGCGCGAGTTATTGTTTTCTGCGTCAAGAACCGCGTTGACGGCGAGCGGTTCCTGGCGGTGTCGGCGTACGGCCCCCAGCAAGCTGTTGCTGATGTTCTTCGATCCGTGCGACCTAATAGCAGGGTTGAGAAAGGTGTTCCAGGTGAGGGCTACGCTATGCCAGGATACCAAGCCCCAGTAAGTGAGGATCAGATTCTCGACGGGTCCAAGCTAGTTCGAGTGACGGGCCAAGACTACATTCCCTACGAGAAAAGTGTTGTCGACACAGCACTAGCTTATGAACCACTCCTTGCTAACCTTGGACCATCAATTTATATCAAGAAGGTGTCTCAGAAGATTTTTTCATATTTGATGCCAAGTGGCAAGTGAGTGGCAGGGGCAGGGCCTTTTGTGATGTGAGAGCATGGCGGTGAGACTCGACATCAAGCATGGCTTTAGTATAAATATCTATTTTTCGCACTTGGATTCTGGTGACCCCCCAAGTGGGTGACAGGAGAAATAAGACAACTAGTGGAAGGGTAGTTATGAACAGACTACTTTCCACAATAAACAGAGAAATCCACCCACTTAACCCCATAGCTGCAAGCCTATGCTCGCGCCATGCGTCTCCTTTGCCCGCTCTTCCTCTTTGAAAATAAACAAACAATATAAAACTAGAGGTGTATACGTTTTATTTCAAAAGATGGAATGCTGTTCTAAAACTGGGCGATAACAGGCTGACCGCAACAAGATCATGCCATCGACGTCCCTGCATCTCCGAGATCAAGATTCGCTTCCATATGATCAGTTTCGAAGGCGGTGTTGCCGTTCCGATTTTCCTCGCTAGGAGGAGTTGGTGTCTCTAGGACTGAGCCCATGTTGACTAACTCGACCCTTTAACATTAGCCTCGTTCAATACCTATCATCGTCTTTCATCAGTTAACTGGAACTTACAGTCGAACGTCTCTAAGAGATCAGTGCTCAAGCCTTGTTCTCCAAAATATACACCTTCCCGGTTGATTGTATCCAACATGAATGGGTCGACAGCCTGCCCTGATGGGTCTGCGCCGAACAGCTCGGTGGATAACCCACCTGTAGAGTTAGAAAGAACGAAATTGACGGCCTCTGCGGCTTTCTGGGCTTCTCGGGAGTTGCGGCTGCCCCGCATCCAAATTGTTCGAGTCTTCCGTAGCTCTGATTTAATCTCCTCCTCTCTCCCAAGCGTCACTCCGCGGTGCAACATCGAACAAAGGATCATCGTCGCCGTCAGGAACTGGTTATTCATGATGGAAGAGACTCGCCATCGCATCATCGATATTTGTCCCCCGGGGCGTGTCTCCTCGTCTAAATCTCCCTGAATCTCGAGCATGCTCAGCGATGCATCCAGGCACGTCTTTTGAGAGTAAGCATGAATATCCTCTCTTGCAGAAGCAAACATGTACGGCTGGTGGAGCATTATCTGCCCCTTGTAGAATATATGACCGATGAATAGTCGCCACATTATCGCATGGGGTGAATCAGTTATACTGGCCGCCATGGGCTTCATTTTCATTGGAGGAGGGATACTGTCGGCTGCTCGTTGTAAACCGCCGTCGGCACGCATGACTTCTCCGTATGTGCACGGCGTCACAGCGGCTCTAAGTTCCGAGATTTGGCCCAGAGCTTCTACGATCCTCCTCATTGCAATGACGCCGAGTATTGGAGTGTATTCAGTCTCTGGTCGCGATGGAGGTAGCTCAGCCATTCCGCCCGTATGAGCTGAATCGAGGTCTGCATCAGTCAGATTTCGGGGCTCGGCGGTGTCGTACTGCGCAGCTGAGATCATGCGAGGCATTCCCACTTGGCCAGAAATGATAATATTTCCCATCAAGAGCGACGACCAGATCCGGCGCTGCATCTCAGCCTGGAGGGGTGTTATTCCCTTGAAGTGAATCGGGTCCCTGTGCAGGCCCATGCGCATTGCCATGTTTGCGACAATGCCGAAAAGGTACCACAGGTCAGTGTTGGCATCTGGATGGATGGCGAACTCTATGTGAGCGTAATGAATCATGGTTTCTAGGATATGCGGGCCGGTTTTGGTGTATTCAGCTAAGATCAGACATTGAACAATCTTTTCGTGATATGAATCGATCTGGAGACGCAATTGTTCGTCTTCAGCCTTGTCCCGAATCTCATTGTTATCCTTTGAGGCAATTACGGAAAGGCAGATGATGGTATATAGCAGGCCGATCCAAGCGATTGGAGTTTCAGAAGGCGCTTCCCAGAATTTTTGATACTAAATCAATGTCAACAAACAGGCGTCGTATGCCCGGTTCATGATACAAGACCTTCGATCATGCTTACCTCGCGAAGGAAGCTGGGGGAGTGAAGAATAGCTTCAAGAAATTAGCAAATGGAATGTCAAGACGCCAGGATTGCACCAACAGTAAGCTAGCGAAAGGTGGTTGAAATAAAACGAAACATAACGGTCGACCGCTGGCTTAGGCGGTAGAGCAGATAAAATCTCCTCTCGCGACCGGGCACGAGGACAGCCATAGAGGAGAAGGGCATGTGGAGATCGGCGCCTCATGGGCGGATTACCATCTTCGACGGTATCATCCATCCTTGTCTGCTCATCTCTATCGACCTGGTGCTTCAACTCGGAAATGCTTTCCAGAATAGCAGCCCAGTGGTCGTCACCAATGTAGGGAAGCTCCGTAGCTGCGGCACTGATGCTCCCGCACTCTGAACGGACATCCGCGGAGGCATCGACAAGTGAGTTGTCGTATATCCGAGCAACCGTGACGTCGCCACTGGTGCCTGAAGCTGTGACAGCGTTGGGGCTGGGCTGACTTGAAGGGCCTGGCATTAGAACCTTGACCAATCTTTCCAGATGGGCCAGGCGGTCCTGCATTGTAAGTTGTGATTCGCCGACAGAAGATGAAGGTTCTCCATTGTCAGGATTTTGTGCATAAGTGCAGGAAAGTCCGCGCCCAGCGCAATTATAGCATGGCTGCTGGCGATCACATCTCAACCTAAAGAACGAGGCTGTCAGCCAAGCTTACGAGATCTCTTACTAACAATAACATTGAGAGGAGAGCCTTACTTCTTGCGCCGGCAGAGATTGCAGGAAAGCTGTGGCTTGTCACGGCGGCGGCTCGTACTCGGTCTGGGTCTGCCCGCATCAACCCCCCGACGATCCCCCTCACTTGAGAAGCGGAGGGGTTGCTGGAATGCTCCAGACATCACAATGCGGTCGCCTTACCTCTCCTCAAATACCCCTTTTGACCACATGCAGGGGCTTCGAAATGTGCATTAGTCGTATATGCAGGTCTCTCCACGATAATCACCGAAACTGCAGAAAACCTCTCTTACCGAAGATAATCTGACATGCAGTGCGTCACCGGACTTAGTGTCTCAAGCCCACCCAAACTCTATGTCTGATTGTGTGATGACCGACCCTCCGAGGAGGTGTCTAAATTTGCCTCGGACCATCCGCGGCCCCACCTCCCAGCAAAAGGTATAAAGATGTCTCAACTCTAACACAGAACACATGTCCTTTCATTCAATATCGCTGGAGATAATTGATTAACAGTACTTCATCTACTACTTTATTTAAGAAAAAAACTCGTCATGACTCTCATAGTTCATCATCTTCAAGTGTCCCAGTCGGAGCGCATCCCCTGGCTCTGCGAGGAGCTCGGTATCGACTATGAGCTCAAGAACTACAAACGAGCTCCGATCTTCGCGCCGCCAGAATACAAGGCTCTGCATCCTCAAGGCACCGCCCCGATCATCCAAGATGGCGATCTTTTCGTCGCCGAAAGCGGTGCCTGCATCGAATACATCTACTACAAACACGGCCCTAGCAATCCAAGCGGGCCAAAACTCTTCTTGGAACCCAGCGATCCAGCCTACGCTGACTTTCTCTACTGGTGGCATTGGTCCAATAGCAACTTCCAGCCTTCAGTTACCCGATCTCTGCTAGTGCAGAGCGCCGGCTGGGGCGATGATAATCCGACTGCCAAGTATGGAAAGGAGCGCTTTGCGATGAGCCTGAAAACACTTGACAATCGGGTGAAGGAAAACAAATGGCTTGCAGGAGAGAAATTTACCGTGGCCGACATCATGCTTGTATTCTCCTTGACGACCATGAGGTACTTTCACCCTTATAGCCTGCGTGATTATGGCAATATTCTTGGCTATCTTCAGCGTGTTTCGGAGAGGGAAGCATACCAACGAGCAATGAAGAAGAGTGACCCGGGCATGGAATTGATTCTAGGCGCTGAATCCCCGGCGAAGCCACTTGTTATGTAGATATACGTTAATGTCTATTCTGAATACAGTCCCCTCTCACATAAAATCATACCTCGTTGAAAGGCTCCTCAACATCCTCGCGCTGCCCGATCAAGGCAAGAAGATCTACGAATTGAAGTAGACTAAATGGGCGGAAAGTCAAGGGGCGAGGGATTCAAATAAAAATAAATAAATCAAAGTCCAAATGCAGCAGAAGGCCATTCTGAGGTAATCAGCATGCTGTCAAAGTATGCCATTAGGCTTTAAACCAGATATAGTCGACATATCTCAATCCAAGGGCAATTGAAATGTGAGAACGGTAGAACCATGCATGTCACCTCCACAGAGTGTGTCTCAGATGGCCTAATGCAGAACTTGGGGCTGTATCATAATCGTCGGACCTTTGCACTACGTAGCAAGCCGAAGAAGAAACAGTTTAGCTTAACGTGGAGAGGCGCCCACTCCCTTAAATTTAACTCGGGGCCCTGTGAAACTTAAGATTGATAACGGGGCGAGCGGCCGACATGAAACTTGACACCAAATCGCCCAGTTTGGTTCCGAGCGGTAATCGTTGGACATCATATGCCTTGATCGGCAATGATAGACAGAATAGTAGAGAAATGATGGATCTGATGAAACCGCTTGCTGTGTCCTTACTCTGTTTCGTGTTTATTGTTGCGAGCCTGATATAGGCATTCTTCAATACTGTTTTCAATGTTGTTGCGCCGTGTCTGATGTGCGTGTCCCGATTGTGTGGATCAGTCGCCTCCTCTATTTCTTGTGGGAGGTGGGTATTAAGACATATTTGATCCTATTATGGCCACTGCTGCCTTTGTAATCGCTGATTAATTCCTCTGTATTTTACTGTTGCTCTGAACTTGGGGTTATTCTTCCACTGCCCTGGCCCTTGTTTTTTGTGGAGGGCTTTTTGAATGACTTGTCTCTGCGTGGGTTTGATGTGCTGCCTGAATCGTGATCGCATTTTAAGCCCAACATCACTTGAAACTCTAGACTGTATTTAGGCTATGCCTCAGTTGTGGGATGCGTCGCAGCAAGATGATATATCTTGGCTGTTTCATGCAACACAGGGAGGCGCCCATCCATGAATAATCCAAATCAAGTAGGCCCTAGTTCTGTCTGTGTAATTCTGACTCCTCCCAATCGTCCTTTCGCCAAAAGTGCCAGCGCAGACAATTGGAAGGTGAGTTTAACTGCCAAGACCGCTTATTGGGTCTATCAGAAGCGAAAGAGTGTCATAATTCAGTCAGCAAGCAGAAAACACGCCATCAACGCGCCCTCGAGCGGGAATCCTTTCCCCTTGGCTTTTCGGAAATTAGACTCCGATGTCGTGCAAGCAGATGCGTGGGAGGATCTGCGATGAGAAACCTCACAATAGGCCCTCTTCCTCCTTCCTATAACACGCTCCGACCTACCCTCTCCGGCTAGCCCTTGCGATAACGCTATTTGGATGACAGGTTTCTCCATCGCCCGCTTCCTCCATGCGGAAGATGCATCTTACCCCTGACCCGGGAATACCCCGAGGAAATCGGACATATTACCGGACGATTGGCCTATCACGCGAACCGTTGGCACTCCGGGTGCCTGGGACGGCATCTTCATGTGATTCGGCTCCGTCCAAGAAGGGTTCGTGGGGATGCCGCGCGCGAATTTGCTACACTCACATCAAACCGGTGGGATATTGTAGGGATCGCCAAGACCACAGTGGGAAGTTTAAATACCAAGTCGTATCCTCTTCTTTGATATCTCCCTCTCCCGTTTCCTTCAGAGTAGCAGCCATCAACCGATTGGCAATCTTCCAGACGTTCCCTTGAACTATTCTAGTCATTCATTACTCATAGCCAACCTAAAATGAAGTCTCAACTTCTCTCTGGTGCTGCTCTGCTCGCATCGGGCGTCTTTGGCGCTCGTGACTGGCTGAACGAGCCCGACACTGGTATCGAGCTCTCCCTGCCGGATCTAAAACCTGGAGAGCTGGCCAGTATAGACTCTGTCGTTGGTCTGCCTGATTTTGAATTTGTCGCTCGAAACTATCTTCCCATCAAGAACTACACATACTACCGAAATGGCGCCGGGGGTGAATGGGCCTACCGCCACAATGTCGAGGTCTTCCAGCAGTATGCTATCCGCTCGAGGACAATGATTGATATCACCAATATCGAGGCGTCTCTCCCGTGCGTGTCCACCTTATTTCCATAGTTCTAGCATATGCTAATCGATTAACCAGTACCCAGATTCTTGGGCACAACTTCTCGGTCCCCTTTTACATCACCCCATTCTCCCGAGCTGATTTGGCCCATGAGGGAGCGGAAACCAACCTGGTGAAGGCTGCTGCTGCCCAAAACATCCTCTATGTTGTAAGTATGGTAGCATCTCCTACCAATGCTACCCCAGGCAATTTTATACTGAAGACTAACAAATGCTAGCCTTCCCATTATGCGTACCAAAGCATCGAGACCATTGGAGCTGCCAAGGCTGAGGGGCAAGTGCTGTTCCAGCAGGTATGTTATATTAATATTTTTTCTCAGTATTCTATTGAGCTTTTACTTATCAACTGTTACAGCTCTATCTCACTGCCAACGACACTCGAACTCAGATCGAGTTGGACCGTGCCAAGGCTGCTGGCCACAAGGCCATTGTCTTCACTGTCGATTGCCCTGCGCCTGCAAACAGGCACCGAGCTGCCCGCTTTGATGTCCTTTCGCTGTACGCTCTTTCCCGCGATTTCCTGACTGATTGCGGACACTGGCTAATACTTTCATAGAAACCAGGCCTATGTGCCTCTTACTGTGCGTATCTTGGCATTGCTGACCAGCTACGAAATGATGGACTGAACTAACACATCATTTTCAGTGGGAATTCTACAAGAAGCTCACCACGATGACCGACCTCCCCATTATTCTGAAGGGCATCCAAACCGTAGAGGACGCCAAGCTGGCCCTCGAGAACGGCGTCCCCGGCATCATCCTCTCCAACCACGGTGGCCGTCAGCTCGACACCGCCCGCGGCCCCCTCCACATCGCCCTCGAAATCCACCGCAAAGCCCCCGAGCTCTTCCAGAAGCTCGAGATCTTGGCCGATGGAGGTGTCCGCTACGGCGCCGACGCTCTTAAGCTCCTCGCCCTCGGTGTCAAGGCCGTCGGCATCGGGCGTCCCTTTGCGTTTGCGAACATCTATGGCCAGGAGGGTGTTGAGAGAGCCATCAAGATCCTTCGACGAGAGATCGCCATTGATGCCGCTAATGCTGGTGTGGCTGACTTGAAGAAGATCAAGCCTGACGTGGTATGATATCCTGGCTATCGTGATAGTTCTATGAGTTGATACTGACAATGACTTTTAGATTGACTGGGATACACCTTATGGCTACAGCGGTTAATTTGTCAGGGTTAGCAGTCTCCGGCCTGCTTCTGCATCATTATACCAAACCCATTTGAAAAGCCATCAACTTTAGTCAAAGAAATTAAAAAGAGTTAAAATGACAACCTACAATGCCACAATTCCAATTGCCGCAGAAGAGACTTTCTAAACCCTGATAGGAAGCCCTGCCCTCATGCTCTCTCGTAGACAGGTTTTCATCTACGTAATGTAATCTCCACGAGAATCAAATGAATCCTCTGTATTTCGATGTAAAGAGTCAAGGTCATTTTCTTTTTTTGAAGGATACTCAACACGTACCTATCATCGGGATATCTCATTTCTGGATGACGCATGGTTGCGGCACTAGAACTACTACATTCACCATCTGTCTCCTAGCCGTGCCCGCTATCTGCCATTAACAACATGTTTGTGTTGAGGCCTCTGAACCTAACCGGTTCTATGCTTATTTGTAACTATAAGTACAGGATGAGACTTGGCTAGGGGCAGGAAACAATAATGAGAAGATTGAAAGGCCAAACCCTTCAGATCAACCCAGTTAGCCCAAGAGGACCACAATACCATTGTGCCCCTGTGTATAGGTATTGTGAAACCCAGCATACTGTTACGGCAATCCTTTATACTTTGAGACAACTTTCGTAGAAACACATTCCATCTTGGTTCACTACGTGCGAGGTTCGGTACAGGTTACTCTCTGACTCTTTGAAGGCTAGACCGAGTTTGCTTTGCATGATAGTACAAGGTACAACAAGACGGGGAAGAATCATTCTGCGCGAACTTGAGTTCAAATCATAGCTTAGTAAACTCAATTTATTTCATCCCGCGGAAGTTAAGCATGAGCTTCTATACTATTGAGCCATGGGAGGAGTCCATCGTATCCTGCGCTTTTCGCTTCAGCCAATGGCGTGTTGTCGGCCCACGGGGGAATGTAATTCGCATCGGCTCCCTGTTGATAAAGAAGCTTGGCCGCAAGGAGTTGGCCGCCATGGCAAGCGTTCCAAAATGCCATGTTTACAGCTTCCTGCTTCGGTCCAGGTTGTGCTGCAAATTCCTTCTCGAGATGGTCCATGAGCCCCAAGGTGGCCGCAGCTTGTAGATCAACGATCGCACCACGCTCCACGAGCCTTCTAGCAGTGTTCAATTGGAGAAAGGCCCTCGCATCGGCTAATGGTGTTCCGTTGCCAATCACTCCCCCCTCAGCCTCTATGTTTGCACCAAGATCGAGCAGCATGTCAAGGGCCAACACATCGTCATTGCTCGCCGCCCAGTGGAGAGACGTCTCCGTATGCCTGCCGATGAATGTTGCGTTAACATCCCCGCCAGTGTCCACGAGTATTTTGATAATCTTCGGCCCATTGGGGATTTGACCTGGCCAGTCTGTCGCGATGTGCAATAAAGAACGTGCTTCGGTGGCGTCGCCGATGCGGATGGTTGCCAGACCTGGCTGCCCGTAGAGTAGCTCCTGTAGGGTATCTGGGTCTCCTCGCTTGATGGCAGCTTGCACTTTGATGGCCACCGGAGCCTTCGGATCGAGAAATTCTATGTCGGACTTCATTGCGGCTGAGGAGCAAGAGATGGGGGGAGCTATGAGAGGACAGAGTTCGTATCTCGGGCGAGCTAGTGAGAGGTCTCGGATGTGCTGATGACGTACTTCAACTCGACCGTGATTTTTGAAGCAATGAATGGATTGACAGCCAGCCAATGGGGACGGCAAGATAGATTGCTATCACTTTAATCATCCAGCTGCTAGATAAGTATCTACTCAATCATTCAATCATTTAATTGGTAGTGGTATTCCCTGCATCCCCCAATGAACTGGCACAACCTGATAATAATATTGTTGACTGGGTAGCACAACAGGGTGACTGGTCCGCAATATCAATCAAATATTGACTGACAATGAAACACATGCACGCATTAGAAGACAATCATTGATAATTTCAGTCGATGGGGGAATTCAGCTCTAGCGTCGCCTTGCAATGTCCCACCGGTACATTCAATATATATATAGCTACGTAAGTCACTGGTATCAAGATCTCATAAGATGCTCGTGACTTTGAGCCTGGTATCAAAAGTTTTAAATAATGTGTAGGATGCCCCTATGATAATACTGCCTAGTGGGAACTAGGAAGGAAGGGTTAACACGGGGAAATATGTCCGTGACCCTGTGGAACGAGCTAGCTCAATCCCTTCATCATACGAGGCGAACAACGAGCAAAATTGTCCAAGGCGTTGCTGATTTTGTTCAGAGTGAAGTCATTCGTTGAATATGTTTACAATATAATCCTCCAGGCCCTTTTCTACGTATTTTCCCGTCCCAAATGTCGGCGAGCCCTCGGCGGACAAGAATAGGGGGCTGGGCCAACAACCGGTTCTCTAACAACCCCCTGCCGTGTGAGATTGTCCCGAGTGGTTTGCGTGAACCAAAGGTCCACAAATTGTGGACTGGGCTCGGTGGCGAGATCTTCAAAATAGCAACCGGTCCTTCCTTCTCTCCTGTCTTGTTTACTTACCTCTTGCTCTGTTACGAGGACGCGCAGGCGGCGGCGAAGTGCTCAATCTCACCTTGCGCTTCCATTTCCCATCTACGGCTTACGAAATGACGAGGAGGGAGTTATGACAAGTCAGTAGCTCCCAGTCGCCATGCTACATCAAATCTGGCATGCATGAGATCTAGAGGCAATGCACTGAAGACCGAACGGGCGATCTCTACCACAATCCGGGGGACTGGATCTCCCTTTCAACGTCGCTCGTTTTAATCCGATTGATCACTAATCCAGTAAACTACATTCACTCCTTTTTTTTTGGCCTCGAGAAGCGTCCATACCCTCCATCGTTTCAAAAGGGGCCCATTTGTCGCAATGGGATGCACTAGTTCCACCCCAAGTAAAGGTCCAGGCCCGAAGCCAGCCAAGGTGGGAGTGCAAGACACCAAACCACCACCGGCGCAAAAACCACCACCATTAACATCAATACCCGAAGACGAAGTAGAATGGGAGACCAACCCATCATGGTCCCAGATTATCCAGAGAGAATGGGAGGCAGCCGTCGCATCCGGGAAAGAAACCGAGTTTAAAAGCGCATTCCAGGATGACGCCTTTGTCCGCGTACGCATGTGGCTTGACGAGGAACATCCTGCCTGTGCGAGCGCAGGCACGATTGAGGACATGGGCAAGTTCGAGTTTCCCACTAGCCACGGCCCGTGCCAGCTTCCCGCGAGATATTTTGTGACGTTGGATGACGATCAAACCGGATTACTGTACTCTCTCGCACTGGTCATAGCTCCACCTCTAAAGGAAGAGGCAGACCAGAAGTTATGGTTGACAGCTGGCAGTGCTCTCAATACACCGGAAATTAAAGGCGGACAGCAAGCGACGCTTAGATTGCTGTCTTTGATGCAGAAGGGCGACGTCAATGTCAAACATGCCCTGGTCCACATCTTCATGGGATCCGATATGGTCACCTGCAAGTTTGATGCTACGACGACAGAGCCCACGATTACGATGCTATCTGACAGTCCAAGCAGTGAATTCAAAGAATCCAACGACGAGCTTGCGGAGAACGCCCTGGAGGATGGAGAAGAGGCCAGGGGCATATTTCAGCCGCTCATGCTTAGAACTGTCGTACAGCGAGTTTCGCTTGAATATCCCAACGGCACGGTCTGGGATGAAGGAGAATTCTCGTTTTCCGTCGGAGAGGAGCCGTACCTCCACCCAACCAGACTTATCGTTGTGCGAGACCCGAAAAAGATGCACAACACTATTGATTCCGCGGCTTTCAAAATGTTTATCCCGGGCGATGACTTCGAGACTGAGTTGACGCTGATGAGAAACTTGAGCCCCGATCCTGAGTTGGGAGGAATTGTTTCCGCCACGTTGGTCGTCGGGCTTGCGCCAAACACCCTCTGGCCAAAGTGCGGCGCATTTATCGATGGCGCCGTTTTCAAGGCTGCAGATGCTGCGTTGGTCGAATATGCCAAAAAAATCTACAGCACGGGTCAAAGCTATACGTTCAAGGCAGCCGTTGCTATGGGGGCTGATCGGAAGGTATATAAGGTTGTTGGGAACAGCCCAGACTTTCCATACAAACCAAAGCAGGTCAAGGATCAGCCGAAACCCGTGGCTTCAAGAGAATCCTCTGAGGATGACAAGAGGCAGTACACTAGCCTGGAAGCATTTTCCGTTTCAATCGAGGAGATTAAGGGAGAGATACCGAAGGAGACCAGTGGCAGAGGACAGCCGGAGACAACCAACGATGTTGTGGAAAATCCTAGTCTCGCGGAGCCAGCAAAGGATATCATCAAACACAAGCCGTCCGACAACGATCTTACACAAACAGCACAATCCACGCAGATTCTCGTCGCTTGATGAAGTTTTTGAAGTAGTGGGTGACATTGACCGAGCAAATTGGGGAGGTGGGATTATCTTCGTCCGGTCAATCTATGATTCTTATATGCAAAGGAGTTATCTTTGACACGATCATGACAAGAGGGGCTTCCGCATTGTATATTTCCGCAGCGGGCGGCAAAAATCATTTCACTGCATGGACAGGTTGGCTTTGAGCGAACATAGACTGACAATGACTAATGCTTGCAGGTTGACATGAGCATAGGTTATAATATCATATTCTGTATTTTAGTTTTGATTTGATAGCTTTTTTTTAATGACGAAATCCGATAGTAGAAGCCGCCTGCTTTTACGTACTCAATCAAACTAATTCAAATTTGAGAAGTCATTCACATCTAAGTCACCAAGTATGTTAGAACATATTATTGCTTCCTATTGAGCAAGTCGCTAAGTTTATGGATATGCATCATGATATTCTTTAGCCCATTTTCTAACTTTCTAAGTTGTTACGATGAGATAAAGTGCCTTCTCTATTCTAAATATGGTGTCAAGTAAGTGGGCGTCAGAATAAGAAGGACTGCAAAGTGTTTTTATCTCAACTTTCTTATATAGGCTATAATCATAATAATGATAGATAATTAAATTATTGAGTAATGATCGGATAGTATTATCTATTAATACACGTAAGCGCTATTATGGCACAATAGGAAGCATTACTATGTAACTGCCATAATAATTCTGTCGAGGTGACCCTGCAGTCACTGTTTTTATGACGGCCACTAGACAGGGAATGATGTAGACGCTAATTACTAAAATTATATGCGATGAAGAGAACCCAAGTCGTCATAGGAGCTATACTTCCGCCACTTGCCTATAGTCTCGGGCCATTTCTGGAAAGAGATGCGTTAGTCCGTCGTTAGAGGGAGCCGTCAGGCTGTCTAAGAGTTACGAAGCCGGCTAGTGGAAGTAGGTCATCTGGAGAAGTCGCTTAATGCTTAGCGTCTGATTCAATCCTTATTCATCCTAAGTTGACTGGATGGAGTGTGCAAGGGTCTAGTGGTGAGGAGAGGCCACCCCCCAATGTGATGAAAGTGGCACCTGAGAAATTCAGCCAGAAATCCCCAAAAATTAGGTATCACAAAACAGCCATGCCTTGATTTGATTCGATTTGATTTAATTGATTTCACAAGAAATAGTTGGTTTGATTGAGTTTATTTTGGCTGATTTGATAAGTTGTGTTGATCAGAGGCGCTGCTTACAACATGTTCAGGTCAGCTTTGTCATCTAAGCCAAATAGCTGTGGATGATAAATCCTACTGATGGTATTGGCTGGAGCCTTCCACCGCACATATGACGCTATTTAGGATTCAGCCTTTTTGACCAGATAGGATCATTGTCACAGGTGCCATGTTACCCTCCAACCAAGATGGTGCAGGTTTGTTCAGGTAGTTCAAGCCAGCAGCCGGCATTCGGCATTTTTATGCCGTTGCAATTCTGCTCTAGTAAATGAGGCCTTATATAAACCTTCACTGTGTCACACTTCTTCCGTTCCAGGGGCAGGACTCATTACAATTTTCTTTACGACAGAACAAAACTCCCGTTTCATTTTCATCTAAGATTTCGACCACTAGTACCACCATTTGATAGAATACAGAAGCGGGGCCTCAACCATGCCTCTCTCAGACAATCAGCAAATCGTGGAGAGCAGCGAAGAGCTCATCGGGACTCTTCGTAAGATCTTTGGCAAAAATCCTGGATTCAGACCTGGTAAGATCCAACATTGAGGAATATATGAATGGCTATGTACACATACTAACACTTGGTAAATAGCGCATGCTAAAGGGCTACTCTTGGAGGGAACATTCACACCGACCGCGGAGGCTTCGTCCCTCTCCTCAGCCCCTCATTTCAAGCGTGCCTCGACACCAGTTGTAGCCCGGTTCTCCAATGCCAGCGGATTTCCAAAGTTGCCCGACACGGACAAAAATTCGATCGCGAATGGGTTCGCGATCCGATTTCAATTGGAGGAAACTCCCCGACGCGTGCACACGGACATTGTCACAGTCGCCAGCCCATTCTTCCCGGTGAAGAATGCCGAAGAGGCCAAGGGCTTCTTCGGGGGTGTCGCTGATGGGACGGTGGAGCAGTTCGTTGCCACGCATCCCGCAGCAGCAAGGGCTGTCACAGCTCCCAAGAAGTTCCCTGTCAGTCTGGCTACCCAGAAATACTTTGGTATCCATGCATTCAAGTTCGTCAATGCGGAATCAGCGGAGACGTATATCCGCTACCGTTTTGTACCCAAGGCGGGCGAGAAGCATCTGGACGACGAGGATGTGAAGACAAAACCCGATGGTTATCTCTTCGACGCATTGCCGGAGATTGTGGAGACTGGTCCTATTGAATTTGACATCGTAGCTCAAATTGCTGAAGAAGGCGACGTGACAGACGACGCCACCGCTATTTGGCCGGAGGATCGCAAGATCATTAAGCTGGGCACCGTCTCCTTGAATAAGATCAAGGAGAACAACGAGGCCGAGCAGAAACATATCATCTTTGACCCTGTACCGAGAGTTGATGGAATCGAACCATCGAACGACCCTTTAATTGATCTTCGGGCTACAATATATCTTCTTAGTGGCAAGGACCGACGAGCTGCTTAGCTTAGAAGTCCAAAGCTGCTTGGCTGGGAAGTTATAGTTTACTTGTCTGATACATAACTCTTTTCTAGTTTCGCAGGGCTCGCTTGCCAATTCATGACATCATTCTTATTACACTAATAGTTGTTGCATTTGTGTGATTTGTGGTGTGAATGCTACCTTGGCTATCTTCAACATGGCTTTGACGCCAGTTGAGGATCAGCGTGCAAGAAAGAGATGACTTTCAAAACACCAATTATCACTTCCGACATTCGTATCATCAATGCTCTGAATTCTAGCTATCGCTGCTTTTGCCGCGGATTCGTAAGCGAAGGTCTTCTCCCAGGAAGTTATTCGTATTAACAGTGTAATCAGTACCCCTAGGCCGGAGAATGGATGAGAGGCAGCCATTTAGGATAGCTTGGATGCTAGGAATATTGCTTAGACTGAAGAATGGGTGGAAGGGAGCGAGAGTGCCGTATTTCTTGCTTGTCGAGGCTCCCGGGTTTTGTTAATATGCCAGCAGCAAGTTTCATCATGGAACAAGTTGAAATGAAATTGACACCTAAATTCGTCATTGAATCTCGCTTCTGGGTGATCTTCTTGAGACACATGCCATTGCAACCCAAACCAGGCACCATCTGTCCCAGAGGGAGGTAGTCTCAGTTCACGAGGTGAAATATTGTATTGTGCAGAAATTACTTTCATTCTCCCTACCAACCCTAAAATGGGAATCATCAGATGAAGGTAGCAATAACAGTGAGAAACGGGGCAACCCAGATGCAACCCAACGGGCTATAGGCTCTTGCTTTGAAATAAGGGCGTCCCGCAAATAAACCAATTGCAAGGGTGGACAACACGATGAGCTTCTCCTCTGCTGTTCGAGCGCCCCCTCGTTTTGCCCAATGATAGTTCAGAAGACCTTTCAAATCAGCAAATTAGATAAGTCCGGCCAGTGACGCAGAATTTGATCGAGAACTGGGTGGACAGAGAAGGGGCAGGATGAGCTTACCAAGAGTGGCCAAGAGGCCATAAAACGAGCCCCAGGAGACTCTAGCACCCGCTCTTCCGACCGAGTACTCTTCCTCTGGGGGGATTTGGTCCACTGCCTTGTCAACATGCTGCACCCCAAATGCCCAGTGGCCTGGGATTGAGATGGTGTGCAAAGCTGTTGCAGCGTAGTATAGAGCGGGTACTGGCATCTTGATTGAATTGATGAAGGAACTAGAACTCGGAGGGAGTGCCTAACCGAGTACGCTTGGGATCAAAGTGAGGAAGCAAGGTCGTATGTTGCCTTGTGGAGTGCATTGTAAAGCGGGGAAATGCCTCGAGGCTGAGGTCAGATGCGAGATGGTTGTAAACCGAGACAATAGTCTCGGTTGCATGACTAAAGTAAGGTACGTACCACGTCCCGACCAGTCACAAGAAAACAAAACAAAAAGACCCTGAGTAAATCCTTTTTTTTCTGCCCTACCAAGGAAACCCCTCGTCCTTTCCTAGACATAGAGCTCGATGCGACTTCGGCTATGAGACTACGCATTATCACTGGGGGCATATAGCATTCTAGGATCCGATACCCTGACCAATAACTTCCGGGCTGCATTTCTTCACCGCCGACCTTGTAGGAAGTTACGATGGATCAAAGCATAAAACTCGCCTTTCCAGGCTTGAAAAGTCGGCTATTCTGGAAGAAGCTGTGCTCAGTGTGCGTTACATTGCGCCGCTAGTGTTACATCGTTAGGCTGGGTAAGACAGGTGAGGACTTGGCGGCAAGGCGTCTTCGCCAACGCTATAACATGACTCCACCTGCAGGTTGACATTCAGGTCCTGGCCTCCCAATGGCCGACTCGGTTAAATGATCCAGCATTAGATGTCCAGCTTTGATCCAAAGTCCAGAGATGTGGCTGGCCAGCAATGCGCAAATTGGAATACAATGTGACTCTCCATCGTCCCTCCTACCTTGTCCTGTCTCCTCTTGGGATAGTTCCATAACACAATGCAACATTAGGCTGCATAGCAAGCCAAGAATCTTACGCGTCAGACGTTTTACGAGGTGTATAATACAATTTATCAAGGCACTGGAACTTCAGTTGGCCAATTTAGCCCAGGAAGGGATAATATTCGCTTATGGTGAGGGGTGAGTTCCATCAACAACGCCAAGCGAGGCATTTCTCCATTCTTTGACCTAGTCTTCGCCTATAGGGAACATGGGAACATCCGTTGACGGAACATGCAGGGCTTCAACTGCACAGATACCATTAAGCCAAAGAAACAAGAAGCTGGTCAGGTCAAGCGTCACTGTAACCTCAACCGGTCCAAGTATAAATACAGCAAGATATCCCCCATCCTGTTCAATAATTCTCCAGACTCAGGCACAATCTGATA